CCTCCCTCCCTCCCTCCCTCCCTTCCTTCCTTCCTTTCTTTCTTTTTTTTAAATACGAAGTGGGAAGACCCATCTTTTTTTTTGTTTAAATTTATTTATTTGTTATGAATATGGTGTTCTGCCTGCATTTATCCCTGCAGGCCAGAAGAGGGCACCAGATCTCATTACAGATGGTTGAGCCACCATGTGGTTGCTGGGAATTGAACTCAGAACCGCTGGAAGAGCAGCCAGTGCTCTTAACCTCTGAGCCATCTCTCCAGCCCCCTAATTCACTTTTCTCAATTGCTTTCTTCATTTCTGAAATGATAGCATTAAAATAAAAGCAAAAACAAAAACAATCTGGACCCTCTAGGAGGTACAGATTCATACTGTAAGTAAAGAGAAACTTGGGATGTTTGGGATCATGGCCACTCCAAGGGCATGGGTATCATTCTTCTTCTTGTAATTTAGTTGAGTAAAGTGTCCCCAGAAAGCCTAACCCCAGTGACCTGTGCCGAAGTAGTCACCCAGCTGCTCTGTCACAACAGTCCAATTTAATTTTCTTTCAGTATACTTTTTATCCAGCATTCCACTTATTCACTTGATTGTTGGTTTGTGGCTTATCTCTTCACACCAGAATGGATGTTTTATGGAGACAAGGCCCTCTTTCACTCCTCCATTTGTAACCCATATGGAGAGTTTCTGGCTCAAAATGAACATCCAGAGGTCATTGTTAAATGAGGAATCTATACACCTGAAAAAGTTAGCTGTTAGCCAACCATTTCACTTCTAACACACCTGTGCATGCATGAGTGTGCACACACACACACACACACACACACACACACACACACACACACACACAGTCTCCCCTTAGACAGGTTGGTTCTCAGCTCTCAGCCTGAGAGCTGGTGCCTCCTCCATTTGGAATGAGTGCTGTTGTGCCTGTGAAAGACTGGGGGAGTATTCAGGGGGTTCAGTAGCCAATGGAGGGGTCCGCCAGCTGCTTTAACAGGGAGTTGCAGGAAGATTCATTATGTTGTGGGTGTGAACTGTGTGATAGATTTCATGTCATTCCTTTGGTTTTTAAAAGTAATCCTACAGCGGCTTATAAATTTGGCTCCTTTGGAAAGACTTGAGGTCAACACAACCTAGTTTATGGTTTC